GTGGGACAACACCGGACTCCAACTGGGTCATGTTGCAAGGAATCCTTCAAGATTGGCCTGGTCCTTATACATCTCAAAAACGTTTCGCATGTCGATGCTCAAGTCCAATGTCCAGTAGGCTTGGGGAGTTCATGTTTTGTGGAGCTGCCAGATGTCACAGCATGTGCATTCTTTTTGCCATATGCCCTGACATGTTCCGTCAGAAAAGCCGAAACACCATCATGACTGGTGACATCGACTGAGACCTTTCAAGCCTGGACCCGAAGCCTGAGCTGGTCAAAGAGTGCTTGTGAGACCATCCTTCCAATTGGATCGATTGGCAACTTGGACTTCTTGTGCGCCTCGTTGTCAACAATTAAACTCGGAGAGTTTGGATGTGTTGCTGCTACATATGAGTTCACATTCGCTTGTAACTCAACAGCTACAGTTGGGCCGATGGTTGCCATTTGGCCCGATGATTCCACCATAGTGAGAAGGGGGGCAAACCAGTGGACTCACTCGAAATAATTTCTATAAGGATAACAAACGAGTTCACATAGACCTTGAACCAGCCTGGTTAGGACAGACAGCTGTCTGATGATATGGAGAGAGGGAGAGAGATATAGAGAGACCTTGAAACAACTACTTGGAAGTGCGGTCTCAGTGGAATAAGTGGATCTAAAAGAACTATAGTTATTATGCATAGGGGTTTATATCCCAAGAAACATGGGGGTTTAGTTCGCCATGGTTTTAACCAAAACGTAACCTAGACTGCACCCCCAACTAACTGACTCCCTCAGGTCCTATCATGGCGACTGGCCGTGGCACTCAGTGAGGGAACACCGTTGAATCTGGTGGAACGGGCCGAACATGGGCACTGGAATGGAACATACGGGATAATGCGGGATGACCTATATTTATATGTGATTCTATAATATGCTTCATGTATTTTGACACGGAAGTCATATATGGAATGACATAGGAGATCATAGGAGTATTGAAGCCATAGATTGGATGGTTCAAAACCACAAAAAACGGAAGTACTTTCGGGCAGTTCCCAGGCTGGCGGAACCGGTGTAGATGGGAGGTTCCAACGAGAAATTCAAACATTTTGATTTTGACAAGTTCACAACTAGTCCAACTAGAACTATTTTGAACCATCCGAACCAGCATGGTCGAACCATTTGCGTGCAGGTTTGTGGGAGACAAAAATTCCAGAAGGTTTGGCAGGATTCCTAATCACGAAAGGTAGCGACAGCTCCCTGAGTTCATGTGCGTTAGCACTCATGTTTTTGCATTAAAAAGGACATCTTCACTTTTCCCTTGCAGACACGTGTAGAGAGTGCCGAGGGTGCCTGAGGCAGGTTTGATTCATTGGAGCGGCTGAAATTGACATCTTTTTTGCTGGTTTGTCCTCATCGAGTGCTCCAAGGTCCCATTCTTCATTTATTCTTCAGCATTTTTCAATACATCCCATCTCTACATGTTTCTGGGAACAGTTTCTTCCATTACCAATGACACCCTTTCTACCTTTCTTCCACTTCTCAAGAAAAATCACGACTTATCATTGCTGGGCGGTGACACCGGGCCCCCCAGGTGACCCTAGACATATGATGTGACCATTCTTCCATTCTTCGGTGTGCTGAAGGTGCTTCGATGGGACAAGCACCATGGTTTTGATCCGAAAATCATTCTTCTTGATGGACAGTCTCATTTTTTTCGGATGGACAATCAACTTTTAGGGGGACAAACACCTACAGACTTCCGAAAAAAACTGGGTAACGTGGATTTTTCACCGTCAGCTGTTTTGGCCGAGAGTTTGAACTTGTCACTAATTAGTTCACACCTGAATTTTCATGATGCAGTTGCGTCTTTGATGGACCAAACAAACAAAACACAGTTGGCTAGTTTTTTTTGACTTGCAAAACCAGAGTGAAAAAGTGACATCGGCATGTGTAAAAAATGTTCTGTGAAAAGGCTTCCCTGTATAAGCGTCGGTGTGTCAAAGCGTCTGTGTGTAAAAGTGTCTGTGTGTACAGGTGTCTGTGTGTAAAAGTGTCTGTGTGTAAAAGCTGCTCTGTGTAAAGGCTTTCCTGTGTAGAAGCGTCTGTGTGTAAAAAACTCTGTGTGTAAAGGCTTTCCTGTGTGAATACTTCTGTGTGTAAAAGCCACTCTGTGTGCAAAAGCTGCTTTGCGAAAAAGCTGCTCTGTGGAAGAGCGTCTGTGTGTAAAAGCGCCTGTCTGCAAAAGCTTTTGTGTGTAAAGCTGGCCTGTCTACAATCTCCGGTGCGTACAGGATTCTGTGTGTAAAAGCTTCTCTGTGCAAAGCGTCTGTCTGTAAAAGGCCTCTGTGTACAAGCTGTCCTGTGAAAAAACTGCTCTGTGTAAAGGCTTCCCTGTATATAAAGCTGCTCTCTGTAAAAGCTTCTGGGTGTAAACCCTTCTGTGTGTAAAAGCTGCTCTCTGCAAAAGCTTCTGGGTGTAAAAGCTTCCAGTGTGTAAAGCTGCTCTGTGTGTAAGCGTCTGTGTGTAAAAGCTGTCCTGTGTAAAAGCTTCTTTGTGTAAAGGCGTCCCTGTGTAAAAACTTCTGTGTGTAAAAGCTGGTCTGTGTAAAGGGTTCCCTGTGTAAAAGCTTCTGTATGTTAAAGGCCTCTGTGTAAAATGTCAAAACTGTCTGTGTGTAAAGCTTTTCTGTACAAACTTGTGTGTGTAAAGGCTTCTGTGCGTAAAAACTGCTCTGTTAATAGCGTCTGTGTGTAAAATGCCTCTGTGTAAAGGTTGTCCTGTGTAACAACTTCTGTGTGTAAAAGGCCTCTGTGTAAAAACCGTCCTGAGTAAAAACTTCTGTGTGTAAAGGCTCCCTCGTGTAAAAGCTTCTGTGTGTAAAACTGCTTTGTGTAAAAGCGTCGGTGTGTAAAAATGTCTGAGTGTAAAAGCTGCTGTGTGCAGAAACCGCTCTGTGTACAGGCTTCTCTGTGTAATTGCTTCTGTGTGTAAAAACTGCTCTGTGCAAAGTCTTCCCTGTGTAAATGCTGTCTGTCTTTCTGTCTGTCCGTCCGTCCGTCCGTCTGTCTGTTTATCCATCCATCCATCCATCGATCGATCTATCTATCTGTCTACCTATCTCTTCCCCATCCGATCATCATCCGGTCCCACCATCCCAAGTCATAACCTTCTTCTCAAAACAATCGGAAGGCTTAACGGTTATCTGGTCCTTTAACTTTTGGACGGCCAATGAATTTTGTTCCAGGGGAAAAGCCGCATATTCGTTGACTGGTGAGCCATGTGTTTTCAAATTAGTGGGTCATGTGGAGACTATCACCAGGTTTGGAGCTGCTGGAGAATATCCAGGGTCAGAAAAAAACCCGGGGGAATCACTCATTGACGCTCAGGGAGGTTGATACTTGAAACTTTGAAAACTGCATGTGTTTGTTGTCAGCTAAAAACATAATTTGACACACAGCTGCAAAAACTATTTTATTTGCAGGATTATACGAGCCTGTCAGTAGATGGATGCCCGTCAAGAAGAGCTTAGAATGATGTCCAAGTCCGGTTGGAATTATAATGAAACTATCCGAGACCGCGCCGGCAACTTGTTTGATACCCTACGAGGCCATGCCAGGTCAGTCTAGATTTTGGTCCACGGCATGAACAATATAAAAGCAACGCTGCAGGATTCCCTGCGCCTGTCAGTCAACGGAAAAATATAGGAGAACATCGAATGACCTGAATCTCCTCAAGAGTGTGCCATAGAGTTCAGATCGGGCACTGGTAGTTTTGTTTTTGTGATTTTTGAGGCCCCCCTTTCCAAATTGTTTATTCCAAGTTTCGGTCTCCAAGTAAACCCCCAACGCCTTCACTGTATTGGCATGTGCTGCGCTGTTTTGTTTGCTGCTTCAATGCATTGAACCCTTCCAGGGGGTACTAGTGGCTCAGCATGATCTTTTTTTGCCGAAAAAAGCGTCTTCTGTGGGAAACCTGAAATACACAGTTTTAGTTGCACAAACGTGTTGACCTCACAAATTCTACAGTGGAAGCATTCCAAGTTGTATCTCATCAGGGGGGACTTTGGGAAAAAAAGAGGCGACATCTGCTGTGCTGCGATGCAAAGCTTTGAGAAAAGAACCTGATCAGCTGGATTGGGTTCCTGCTTTATGTGGTTTCGTACCTGGATCTCCGAAATCAAGCTGGGCGGATGATAGGAGTCTTTTGAAATGGTTTAGTGCATGAACCTCGGCACGGAATGTTAGTGGCTCAGCATGGCCCCTTTTGTCCCATATGCTGCATAAGCATCGAAAAATAACCTCTGCCCTGACACTTGTTCGGGAGAAAACAAAGGAAAACCATGGAACACCTACAGAAAAATGTAAACTGTGCAAATGCAACATGCCTTGGTGCCCTGAGAAGTGGTCATTCTAAGTTTCTTCTCGTCACGGGGGATTGTTGCAAAAGAATGATGACAAGTACTGCCCTGCTTTGCAAAACTTTGAGAAATGAACCCGTTCAGCTGGGTTTTGGGCTGTGTGTTTTGATTGGCTTTGTGGTTCCTGGCAATTTTCGTTTCAAAGTGTTCCAACAGTTTTTCGTACCTGAATCTCCGGCATCAAGCTTCAAGACCATTGCTGGGGGGACAGTAGTTTTTTGAAATTGGTTTAGTGCATGAACCTTGGCACGGAATGTTAGTGGCTCAGCATGGCCCTTTTTGTCACATCTGCTTTGCATAGCATTCTAAATTTGCCTTTGGCCCGTCCGCTCTTCAAAAGACGATATAAAGTGTGCAAAAGAAACATGCCTTGATGCCATGATAGGCGGTCATTCCAAATTTCTTCTCGTCACAGCGGAGTGTTGCAAAAAGCGGTGACATTTTTTTTTTCGAAAGCTTCTTTTCGGCATACTATGTGTAGGTCTGGTTTTTTTATTGGCAAAAAAAAATGACAAATGCTGTCCTGCAATGCACAGTTTTGAGACACGAACCTGTTCAGCTGAGTTTTGGGCTCCGGCGTTTTACTGGTGTTGCAGAATTACCTTCGTTTTTTTAAATAGGCATTCTTCTTTGTTTACCTCTGGTTTTTACTGGTTTTGTGTTCCTTGCGGTTTTCCTGTCCAAGCTTCCGACAAAGTGTTTTCGTACCTAGATCTCCGGCATCAAACTTGAAGACCATTGCTACAAACAATGTTTTTTTGAGACTGTTTTTAATGCATGAAGCGGAATTTTAGTGGCTCGGCATGGTCTTTTTTGCCACATGTGCTGTGCAAACCGTCTAAACTTATTTACAACCAACCCTTTCTGTGCGGAAAACCTTGAAAAAACGATGAAAAGTGGGCAAGTGTAGCATACCGCATATCATGATTCTGCCTTAAAATGTAGGGTTTCCTGCGTTTTTTCTACATTTTTTGCACTGCACCACGTTTGGGATGGCATTTTTTGTATGATGTCCGGTCATTCTAAGTTTGGGATGGCGTTTTTTGGTGTGATGGCCGGTCATTCTAACTGCCGTCATTCCAAGTTAAGGGTTAACATTTTGGAAACCGGACCACCCATTCTAAGTTTCAGTCCTTAAGTACATATGTTATAGGCAGAAGACGCACAGCGCTGAAAAGACCCGGCGAGAATGAAACGTTATTTTTTGTTACTCACATTTTGAGGTAATATCTCGACATATATCCGGATTCACAGTGATGTTTTTTGATGCAGTTGCCGTCTTTGATGGTACCAAAGTTTTTTCAGACTGGGGGATCCAGGGAAGCAACCATCAAAAACAGCTGGTTGGTGGTTTTGATGTGCAAACCAGAGTGAAAAAGTGATATCGGCACGTTTTCTAAGAAGTTCGTGGCGCATCACTTGGTGTTACTGTTGATATTTTGGATATTCTGATGAATGATGCAACGTCAAATGGTTGTCTTGCGCTAAATCAAAGCATGTTCCGTAGACCTGGATGACGCTTGTGCCTTCTGCCCCCTGCGCCCGGAGAATTCCGATTTTCTGATTTGCTGATTTGCGAGGTTACGACACTTTCTCGGCCAGATGCTAAGAGCAATGGCAGTCAAGATTTGTGACATTGAGTCTCTGGATTTGTGCCACTTTATTTTTTGGATGAAATCTTATCCCGATGGCATTACAGCACGTTGTTTTTCACTCCAGGCCCCTTCTGTTTCGGCGTACCTCTTGGCTCAATACCATGTTTCTGACAATGTTTGTCATTGTTGATCCGCCTCCAACCGTCTGACCTGGTCTCGTGGCTCTCGACCCCTAGAAGTCTATCCCAGCCTTCGCACGAATGTCACGAATGTTGCAGTTGGCACTTTCGCGACATCTTCGACACTTCACAGCCTTCACCGTTCTGATCCTAGGATGTGCCCAAGCTCAGTCGCAAGAGATCTCGGCCTGCTTCCCAAGTGTCGCCGTTCCAAAGTCAGATCGCAAATTCCTGACCGGCCCACGGGGCCCTTATCCCATCGGAGTTTGGGTGTGTGACTGGCCGGCGGCCTATGTGACTTCAGAAGTGGTTCACATTTTGCTGGAAGAAATTCTGGGATTCCACGTGGTGCAGACAGGACCGGGGCCCAACACCGTTGACGCTCGGCTGAGTTTGCTTTGGACCGAACGGAAGAGAACAAGGTAATTCTCCTAGTAGCAACCACGACAGGGCACTGCCCGTGTCCCCAGCTACATTTCCATGAGTCATCTGTTTTGAGAGCCGCCTCTGCTGGCGGTTTCAGCTAAAGACTTGAGCAAGTCATAGCTAGTCCCTTTTCTGCATTTTGCAGTTGTGCAGCCAGCACTATGGGCAGGCAATATTCCAATCCAATTGTGTGCATTTGCGTGCGATGTTCTTTTATTTCTTGCAGGCTTACCAACAATGCGACCCCATTTTTTTCAGGAAAGCCCATATCCTATCTAAGCTCTGGGTTCCAGTCAGCACATGTCCTTCAGTGAAAATTCAAAAAACAAGGGTTGTAAAAGAAGAAGTTCAAATGAACATCATCTAGCGTAGAATTGACTTGCACACAACTAACACAGGAAAGATGCTATGACCACGAGGAGGGGTTTCGTTTCCATGTTCTGACACGCTGAACCGACCTACGGAGAAGGCACGCAATCAAGAGAATTAGGCAACAGCAAAAAGAGCAATCATCGTTATTGCTTCCCACCCACCAACACAGACATAGAAATGAGACACCGACAACGTGACAAACAGCGCATACAGACACAGTACAAAGCACAGCGTAAACCTACGCATACAGACATAGAAGAAGGTAAACAAACAACGGAACGTACATACAATGCACAGCGTGCCCAAAAACAGGCCAAACTTGCACACCATGCAGGACCGCGCGTTGGACCACACCAAGAACAAAGATTTGAGGGAGACCTCATAAACCTTCTTGGATGTGCATCCTGGTTCTTCGATGATTGCCAAAGTACACATAATCCAAGAATTACATTAAACAACTAGGGATACTGTATCCTGTGTATAAGTGCTCCATACCATGCTTATGAGCCACTGATGAAGTTGTGAACATTGGGATATCCAAGTTCTCTGCTGTCCCCTTAGCGCTGGGCCCGGCACGCTAGCGACCGCAACCAGGATGCTTTTTATGCACTTGCCGGCTGTGCAAATCCGCTGAACATTCAGGACAAGAACGGATTGAAATTTGGGGATGGTGAAGGGTTCACGCTGGACATCTCAACTTAGATACAAAAAAAATATATCATTGTAAGCCAACTTAGAATTGGGGTGTGCTTATTGAGGTGGCCTGAAGCTTTCAGATTCCCAGATGGACATCAATGTATGGCTAGAAGACGCTTCACCGCAACAGTTTTCTACCGAGAGGAAGGGCAAAAAAACGGTTGTGTCCGTCTCATCTTGGCCCATGGCGCCCATGTTGGGTAGTAGATGTCGGGTCATGTGGGGATATGTCGGGCCAACGTTGGGACCACATTGGGCTTATCATGGCTTATCTTGAGCCATTTTGGGCCACATTGGGACCATATTGGGCCCATGATGAGCCATTTTGGGCTGTGTGCTGGCCTTTATCTTGTCAAAAACACTGTAAATGCCCAGAAAAAACGGCTCTTCTTGGCTGCGTTGCTGATGTTTTTGATGCCATGCTGAACTATATTTTTTCCTTTCTTTTGGGGCATGCTGCGCTTAGGCTATGCTGGCCTTATCTCAAGCTCATGTTGAGCAAAAATTCGATCCATGTTGGGTTGTTGTTGCGTCCTCTTGAGCCCATGCTGGGCCGATGTAGAGCCGTTATGTCTGGGCACTGCCTTTGTCAGTTGTGCAGTGTGGGTTGTTGTTGTGTCTTGGTTAAGGATGGTGTCGCTTCGGCGTGTCAATAATGTCTTAGGGGTGTATTGGTGTTGTGTCACTTGTCATTTGGTGGTGCCTTGGTGGAGTGTCGGCGATGTGTTGGTGCAAACCTCGAGGCCTATTAGTCTCTATTGCGCAGGTGCGTCTTGGTGGCGGTGGGCAGGCATGCATTCGTAATGTTGCGTTTGAGAGGTATTTTGCAGGTATTGCGGTGGCATTTAAGTGGTGCTTTTGGTGGTGTATGGGTGGTGTCTTGCTTGTGGGTTTCTTGGTGGTGATGGCATGGCATGTGAGCTGTCATAGGGGTTGACATTTCAATTGTGTGTTGCATCCGCGTTGCACACTTGTGGCCCATGACATCTCCGGCGCTTTTGCTGTCCTTACTGGTAGAGCCTACATATAAGGAAAAGGCCGTTTGCATCGCGTGTGACAAAGAAAACAAGTGCAGATCTCATCCGAAAGTAAACATGAAAGACAGCCAAGACTTCGCGTTTTCCACGGCAATTGTGATTCGTTCGCGTTTTCTATTTGACTGAATGGTTGAAGATTTTCTGCAACTTCTTCCGCATCCTCTTGGTAACCGGCGTGCCGAAGTGTAAGTTACATCTTTATAGAGATATACAGGGCATGCTCCCTCTCTTTTTAAAGTTTTGTTGTTTTGGCACTGCTTCGCTGGCTTCACGCTGATGTTTGGGTAATTAGTGTCTTTTGGATCTGGATTCCTTCTCTAGTTTGAGAAACACATACAAAAGTCTTTGTGTCAGATTCATCATGTTGGTATTGAGATTTTTCTGACCGTATATTCATGTATCTTTTGTATCTACCTAATTTGACAGGGGAACGGTGGTAGTTTGCTACCCGGGATATTTAAATATATTTGAATGCCTTCCGTCGTCCGCGCGCTGGTTTGCAGTAGGGGCCCGAACCTTTGAAGCTTGGGTTTTTAAAATCCGGGGCGGGAGCCCCACACTTCTGCTGAGGACTCACTTTCCTATAATAAGCGTCCTCTCCAGAAACCTGTTCCCCCTACTTTTCAATAAAACTTTTATGTTCCGATTTTATGCTGGGTGTTGATCACCCTCTTGAAAGGCTGTAGCAGGTATGTTTCATCATGTTTCGCCCCTTTTGATCTCCATGGCATCAGGTGGCAGCGCCAAGGGGCAAGGATAAAAAACCCTTGAGTTGGCTGGCCGCAGGACCGCGGCTGTTCCGCTACACCGGTGGCTACTACAAACCACATCAATGTAGAGGGCTGGACTGAGTCATATGCCCGCACATGGGCACAGATTGAGCGCGACTATCCGCAGAATGCGCCGAGAAACCTGGGCAATATGGGCTTCTTGGTAGAAATGATGGCAAGGTGTTTGCAGCGGTCTTGTTTTTCACAGTGCTTCGAACGCATTCCTGCTGCGGAGTGCGATGCATGTTGGAAATGAAGGAAATCCAAAGACTCCTTGACATTATCAGAATCATCAGCATTCTGGAGATCGAACAAATACACAAATAAATTGAAGGATTTGGCATTCAAGGATTTGGCCAAACCCTACCCAACTCCCCCCAAACCCTGTAGGTCGGAACATTTGGCGAGCAGAAAATCCCCTGAGTCTCGCAAGCGCGAGTCACGTCTAACGGCTGAGGCTACTTTGGGAAGACTTCCATGTTCTTGCCCAAGGGTATCCAACTGGCTGCCTACAACCAAGAAGGCATCTTGGACCAGCGAATCACATGGTTGACTGTGTGTGTGTGTAACATCTGAATAGATGTAAAACTTCTTCTCTCTCTTTTTCTTCCTTTGTCCTCTCCCTTTCTAATTCTAAATTAAATTTAATGCAGGGGGCCACCGGGGTCCCGGGGGGGTCGGTGGCCACCGAAGACACCCCCCCGGGACCCGTGTAAACGTACCTGCATTAACTATAAATCTAATGGTCTAGGCTGGTTTGCATGTTTCAGGATTCAGTTCCTGACGGATCATATAATGATCCATTCTTGTCTAGTGTGATTTCCATGGTGGCTCCGACATGGTGCCATGGAGCCATTTGAGGCAACCCTCTTTAGGGTGAGTGATGACTGTCCTGACTGCCGAATTTACACACTTTAACTTAGTAATTCATCTAAGTAAATCGCAACAGTTGGCCTTTCTGTTCTGCAACTTTTTTGAGATGTCCTGCCGTTCCGGCTGTCCCTTGCGATCCTTTGTGAATTGCATTCTTTGCAGTGAGAAGCCGTACCGAACATTCAGAAACCTCTTATTCTGCAGCATTTTCACAGCGACATCTGGCAACACTACATGAAATTGGATCAGGCAGGCCCACGTCTTGCAGGTGTGGTATTCTTCCTTTTGATGGTTGTCTGGTGAGGTTAAACATTTTGTGCATCTAATTCGATGGAACTTGAAAGCCGTTTTATGCCCTTGTGGCTGACTGGAACACGGGCCTGTTGTGGCACAATCGCACGAACAGTAGGTCTAGGAACTGGGTCCTGTTTTTTAATTAATTGTTTTGGTTTTTGTCTGGCATCAACTAGTTCCCCATTGGTCCCTAATCTTTCCCCGCGTGCCTCTCCGTAACGTGTTGTTGGGTTTAGGTGTGTGCGCTGTTTTTGTCAGGTCCGTTTCGCCGTGTAGGTTGGTTCTGGAGGTCCGTCTGTTCCCCTCCCCCCCTGCGCTGTTTTGGCCGTCTGCCCGTCGTGTGTCCGCTTTTTTCTTCCTCTTGCCTTTCAGGGTTGACCCGGCTCCGGCCGGGTGTGTGTGTGTGTGTAACATCTGAATAGATGTAAAACTTCTTCTCTCTCTTTTTCTTCCTTTGTCCTCTCCCTTTCTGATTCTAAATTAAATTTAATGCAGGGGGCCACCGGGGTCCCGGGGGGGTCGGTGGCCACCGAAGACACCCCCCCGGGACCCGTGTAAACGTACCTGCATTAACTATATAAATCTAATGGTCTAGGCTGGTTTGCATGTTTCAGGATTCAGTTCCTGACGGATCATATAATGATCCATTCTTGTCTAGTGTGTGACTCATCTGTAGAGATGTAAAACTTCGACGTTTGTTCGTTTTTTGTTTATGCAGGGGGCATGCGGCCATCATGCAAACGCATGCCAACGAAGCTGTGCATGATGGTGGAAGCCGGGGCTGATCACCCTGGTGTACCTGCATTGTTGTGACTACCTGTTGTTCAGGGTGTGCTTCCATTCAATTGTCAATGTCTGGTGATGGGAAGAGGCTCAACCCAAGAACCTCCAAGTCAATTTTATTTCTTCACGGTTGCCACAATCTGTATTTTCGCCGAAACCATGTCGCCGATGTATTTTGCTCATTTCGCCGAAACCACATCACCGATTGTATTTGGATTTTTTCGTCAATATCATGTCGCCAATGTATTTTGATGACGTTTTTGGACATGGAGACCATGCAGGAGAACTTCTATTATTTGAAGATGCATCGTTGATTTCTTTGTTTCCTATCTAATCTGCATGTTTCAGGATTCAGTTCCTGCCGGATCACTCAAATGATCCATTCTTGTCTAGTGTGATTCCTATGGTGACTCCGACATGGTGCCATAGGGCCAATTGAGGCAACCCCAGTTGGGGTCAATCTCGACTGAATTGACTTCCGAATTTACACTTTTGAATTAGTAATTCGTTTAAGTAATGTGCAACAGATGGCCTTACCGTTTTGTGCCTTTGACGAAGTCCCGCGGCTCCTGTGGTCCCAGGGATTCCTCGCCGACGCATTTCTTCATCTTTGAAGCTGTTCTGAACATTCAGAAACCTCCTTCTTTCGCAGCAACCTTTGCAGTTACATTACATGAGACAGAACGCAGGCAGGTACACGATCTTTAGGTGTGGTCTTCTTTCTTTTGATGGTTCCCTGGTGAGGTCAAACATATTGTGCACCTAATTCGCTGGAACTTGAAAGCCGTTTATGCCTATTGTGGCTGACCTGAACACGGGCCTGGAGTGGCACAACGCACGACTTCTAGGTTTTAGGAACTGAATCCGGTTTGTGATCAATGAATGGCGGATGCAGCGTATCTACCTTTGATGCTCCTTGTCATTCCACGTTGTTCCTGGTTGGTCACATTTTTCGTCCCCTCAGCTTTTGGTTTTCTCAAATTTTCATCTGAGTTATTGTTTCACCCATGGAGAACAAGCGTGACGCAACTTCAGCGGGCTTGGGATGGCCTTTGACCTCGAATCGCGGAACCCACTCTACACTCGTTCCCGATGCAACTACTATCGATGCCTCTACAAACCCGACCTCGACTCCTTCGGCATCTTTGGAACCAATGAGTACGTCTAGTGACCTAGCGGCAGCGGCACCTATGGACACATACTCAGCCCCTCCTCAACCTGCAGTTCCTTTCCCGACACACGATCCTCCACATTTCAGTGCTCACCGCCATGCACACTTTACCGCACGAGTGGTTCATCAGATTCACACTCCAACAACGAGCGTGAGCTATTTATTGAGGAGATACCAACTTCGGGAATTTCTACATGTCGAGATCCTGAACACTTCTTCTATGGCCTCTCGGGAAATTGAGAATGGTCCTTGCAAACTGCAGATTATTGGCGCCATCATTTTGAAATTCCTCTACTACATGGGAACAATCCTTTTCGCAACGTAGCCATTGAGACGACTCCATCGCCAGACGAAGCAGGACATGTCACTACTATCCCGGCTTTGGCCAGGCAGTTATCGGATTCACTGACGGCAGCTACGGCATCTGGGGAACTTAGCGACCCATGGAGAATGGTGGCACACATGAGCTTCCACGACGCGATCCAAGTTCTGCAGCAAGCTTCGAGCTCAACTTCTGAATAGACTGACAGCAGCCTTGTAAGTCACAATTTCGAAGGTTCACAACAATTCGTGCATCGACACGTAAGACCGCTATATTCTTCCAAAAATGAAACCCTGCTCTGGCCGGGTGTGTGTGTGTAACATCTGAATAGATGTAAAACTTCTCTCTTTTTCTTCCTTCTGTCCTCTCCCTTTTTAAACCTAGTGCAGGGGGTGCCAGGGATGCACACTGGACTGGCACCAACGAAGACGCCAGTGTGTCATCTGTGATATCGATCGGGACGCTCATCGACGTACCTGCCAATTTGCAGATCGGTTTCAACTGTTGATCAAGCTGTTACACTGCGTTGTTTCGAATCTACACGGTTGCCACAATCTGTATTTTCTGCATCAGAACCTTCCTCAGTATTTTCGCCGAGATCATGTCGCCGATAGTATTTTCGATTATTTGGATTATTTCGCCGACCATGTCGCCGATGTATTTGGATTATTTCGTCAAAACCTCGTCGCCGATGTATTTTTGATGAAGATCGTGGACGTGGAAACTATTCAGGATCAGATTTGCATGTTTCAGGATTCAGTTCCTGCCGGATCATATAATGATCCATTCTTGTCTAGTGTGATTTCCATGGTGGCTCCGACATGGTGCCATGGAGCCATTTGAGGCAACCCTCTTTAGGGTGAGTGATGACTGTCCTGACTGCCGAATTAACACATTTTAAGTTGGTAATTCGTTTAAGTAAAGTGCAACAGCTGGCCTTTCCGTTTTGCACCGCTTTCTGAGTGTCCCGCTGATCCTGCGGTCCCTTGTGAAACCTCGTGGAATACACCTCTGTGACTGTGAAGCCGTGCTGAACATTCAGAAACCTCCTTTTTTGCAGCAATGTCACAGCGACACAGCATCATACCATGACAAAGGAACCAGGCAGGCACACGACTTCCAGGTGTGGTCCTCTTTCTTTTGATGGTTATCTGGTGAGGTGAAACATGTTGTGCACCTAATTCGCTGGACTTTGACAGCTGTTATATGCCAATTGGGGCAAGACTTGACCACGGTCCCGGTGCAGGGAATAATCGCACGACCTTTAGGTTTAGGAACTGAATCCTGGTTTTAATTAATTGTTTTGGTTCTGTCTGTCATCAACTAGTCCCCCATTTGGTCCCTAATTTCCCCGCGTGCCTCTCCGTAATGTGTCGTGGGGTTTAGGTGTGTGCGCTGTTTTGGTCAGGTCCGTTTCGCCGTGTAGGTTGGTTCCGGAGGTCCGTCTGTTCCCCTCGCCCCCCTGCGCTGTTTTTGGCCTTTTGCCCTTCGTGTGTCCGCTTTTTCTTCCTCTTGCCTTTCAGGGTTGACCCGGCTCTGGCCGGGTGTGTGTGTGTAACATCTGAATAGATGTAAAACTTCTCTCTTTTTCTTCCTTCTGTCCTCTCCCTTTTTAAACCTAGTGCAGGGGGTGCCAGGGATGCACACTGGACTGGCACCAACGAAGACGCCAGTGTGTCATCTGTGATATCGATGGGGACGCTCATCGACGTACCTGCCAATTTGCAGATCGGTTTCAACTGTTGATCAAGCTGTTACACTGCGTTGTTTCGAATCTACACGGTTGCCACAATCTGCATTTTCTGCATCAGAACCTTCCTCAGTATTTTCGCCGAGATCATGTCGCCGATTGTATTTTCGATTATTTGGATTATTTCGCCGAAACCATGTCGCCGATGTATTTGGATTATTTCGTCAAAACCTCGTCGCCGATGTATTTTTGATGAAGATCGTGGACGTGGAAACTATTCAGGATCAGATTTGCATGTTTCAGGATTCAGTTCCTGCCGGATCATATAATGATCCATTCTTGTCTAGTGTGTGACTCATCTGTAGAGATGTAAAACTTCGACGTTTGTTC